TTATTATTAGATTTTAATAAGACACAAGAGTAAAATATTTATATATATGTATATAAAAAATATTTATAATTGTAATGGAATATTCTCTTGTATATTCAAGCAAATATTTGAACTTAATTAAAAACTGGCTATGAAAACTAACCGTTTACATTGCTTGCCTCCGTTTACTTGCAGCGCCTAACGGGAAAATCCAACGCTAACCAGCGGCAGAGCAACGAAAACAATAGCATAAATCAGTACACGTGTCGCATACACAATGCGAAGCATGCGGCAAGGCATCGACAACAACAACAGCAACAGCAGCAGCAACAATAAGAACAGCAGCCACAGCCGCAGCCGCAGAGACAACAGCAACAACAACAGCAAGTGAATTGCGTTATAATTTCATTAAGGACAAAAACCTTTTCAGTCAACGGCTATAATGCGAAGGGCTAAGGCAGCAAAGGAGAAGAGCGCTAAAGTAGAATAAAGTTGAGTAAAGCAAAGCGGAGCAAAGCCGCAGGACCCAAGAGGCGGCACTAACAAAAGCATTGCCTACTTACAGGCGCTGCCAAGCAAAAATCAAGCGACTGGCATTTTTATGAAATTAATACAAAAGACGCCAGCTAGATATAGAGTGAGAGTGACAGAGAAAGGGCGAGGAAGGAGTCTGCAATGACAGCAACGTGGACGTGGACACAATGATGAGCACTCGCACTCTGATTATAATGGCGGCCCAGCCTCACGAGCAGCAGCAGAAGCAGCAGCAACGGGCTAGCGGGAAACGCTTTTTTTATTGCCTGACACTCGAGTAGGCAACGTGATTCTGCTGCCAAGTCGAGACGACAGCGACTGAGTGGCTAAAGCAGACGCTGTAGCTGTAGCTGTAGCTCTCGCTGTAGCTGTAGCTAGATCAACGTTATATTCCAGCGACTGCGCTAATGCTATTTGCGTGACGCGGAAGTGGAAGAGGAAGAAGACGAGGGACGAAGAGCTAGAAAAACGTCACCTTCATTTACTAATTTGACATGCAAACGTGACCAAGTGTCGCACATAGACTCCAAATAGAAGCTAAAGCCAAGACAAAGCCAATTCAATAGAGGAACGTACAAGAAAATGCCACGCCTACTGCAATTACTATTACCCCAGCTGCTGCTGCTGCTGTCGCTGCTGCACTGCATCGCCGGCTGTCCGCCGGAAGTGTGCGTCTGCAAGTGGAAGGGCGGCAAGCAGACAGTCGAGTGCGGCGGACAGCAGCTGTCGGCGCTGCCGGAGGGCATGGATCCGGGCACACAGGTGCTCAACTTCAGCGGCAATGGGCTGCAGGTGCTGCAGAGCGAGCGCTTCCTGCGCATGGATCTGCTCAATCTGCAGAAGATATACTTGTCGCGCAACCAACTGATACGCATACACGAGAAGGCCTTCCGCGGCCTGACCAACCTGGTGGAGCTGGACCTCAGCGACAACGCGCTGCAGCATGTGCCCAGCGAGACCTTCCAGGACTACAGCTCGCTGATGCGGCTCTCGCTCAGCGGCAATCCCATACGCGAGCTGAAGACGTCGGCGTTCCGGCACCTCTCCTTCCTGACCACACTGGAGCTGTCCAACTGCCAGGTGGAGCGCATCGAGAACGAGGCCTTCGTGGGCATGGACAACCTCGAGTGGCTGCGCCTCGACGGCAATCGCATCGCCTTCATTCAGGGCGCCCACATTCTGCCCAAATCTCTGCACGGCATCAGCTTGCACAGCAACCGCTGGAACTGCGACTGCCGGCTGCTCGACGTCTACGGCTGGCTGGTCAGCCACAATACGCCGCTGGCGGAGGAGCCCAAGTGCATGGAGCCGGCACGGCTGAAGGGCCAGCCGATCAAGGGACTGCAGCGGCAGCAGCTCGCCTGCCTGCCCGAGGTGAGTCCGCAGTCGAGCTACACGGAGGTGAGCGAGGGCCGCAACATGTCCATCACGTGCCTGGTGCGCGCCATACCCGAGCCGAAGGTGCTGTGGCTGTTCAACGGCCAGGTGATGAGCAACGACAGCCTGCTGGACAATCTCCACATGTACTACTACATTGACGAGAGCGGTGGCAGCGGCGCCGAGGAGAAGCGCAGCGAGATCTTCATTTACAACGTGGGCGCCGAGGACAATGGCACCTTCTCCTGCGTGGGCCAGAACATAGCCGGGACGACGTTCAGCAACTACACGCTGCGCGTGATAATCAAGGAGCCGCCGGTGGTGAACGAGGTGTCCTTTCCGCGCGACTACATGAACTACATTGTGGCCAGCAGCGCCGGCGGCGCCATCATCTTCGTCGTGCTGCTCTGCACGATTGTGGTCAAGTGTAAGCGCGGCGCCGAGCCGGCCAAGCGCAAGAAGTGCGACCAGGTGACGAGCATTGCGGGCGCCACGGACTCGACGAACGGCAGCAGCCAGGACACCGGCATGATGAAGTGCGCCTCCATACTGAACGACGGCGACAGCCTCAACGGCGGCGCCGGCCTCATGCTCGCCGACAATCTGACGCCCACCAAGGCCGGCAATGGCAGCGCCGGCGGACCCGGCACCATTGGCGTCGGCAGCGCCGGCGGACTCATTCTGGGCGGTCAAATGAAACAGAATCTGTTGCTGTACGCCACGCCCAACACGCACTCGCAGCAGCAGCAGCAGCAACAGCACCAGCAGCAGCAGCAGCAACAACAGTTGCAGCTGAACGTCAACATGATGAACGCTGCCGCAGCAGCTGCCGCTGCCGGCTCGCCGCCGCTGCTGCTGAGCAATGGCCTGGCCGCCGCCTACTGCTCGCCGCCAGCATCGCTGCGCAACTACCCGGAAAAGAATCCCGACCTGGTCAACGATGCGGAAAGTGTCAAGCACAAGCTGAAGACGGCCGTCTCGCTCGACGGCGCCGCGGACTACGAAACGGCCAGCGATTGCGGACAGTACGAGGGCTGCTATCAGCTGACGGCGGCCTCGCCCCATGCCCATGCCCACGCCCACGCCATGCTGGGTGGCATGGGCTCGCGGTTCGCTGCCGCGATGACAACGCTGCCGCGTGGCATGCAACTGAAGTCGGTGCTCAGCTCGGCGTCAGCTGCGGCGGCAGCCACATCGCCGCATCAGGTGGATGTGCATCTGAATCCGGTTTGCTTTTTGGGCCAGGATGGCTATGCCTACGACTACAGCAGTGCGCATCTGGTGCAGCAGGTGGCTGCGGCACCGCAGCACCACCAGCAACAGCAGCAGCAGCAACAGCAGCAGCAGCAGAACTTTTACCGTACACTCCCCCACAACCGCGCCCACAAACAGCAGCAGCAGCAGCAGCAATTTGCGGCAGCACAGAATGCAAGCCTTCGATACAGCATGGAGGCGGAGTTTGTGCAGCGCGCGCCCGCCGTAGCCTACGAGAAGTATCAGCTGCCGAATGTGCGCTTTACGGCCGAGGGCTATCCGCAGCAACAGTTGCAGCTGCAGCAACAGCAACAGCAGCAGCAGCAGCAGTTCCCCTCCCCGCCCGAGGGCTACAAGAGCAGCGATCTGCCGATGCCAGCCTTTCAGCAGTGGCCCAGCTGCTTGCCCGGCTACCATGCGCAGCCGCTGCGCTACGGCCTGGGCCAGCCACCGCCAGTGCTAACAGCAGTAGCGGCAGCAGGAGCAGCAGGAGGAGCAGCAGCTGCCGTCGGAGCAGGAGCAGCAGCGACAACAGCAGGAGGAGCAGCCGCAGCAGCAACGCCCGCGCCTACGCTGGAGAGCAGCGCCACCATACCCGAGCTGGACGAGACTGAGACGTCGCCCAGCGGCTCGAATGCAGCCATGGCCGAGGCCGAGTGCGCGGCCAGCAGCAGCGTCGAGTCGACGGACGCAGCGAAGCTAAAGCAGCTGAATGGACCCCTGGCGGACAGTCCGGACGAGGGCTATGTGGGCGATGCGCAGGAGACGAGCGACATTTGACAACGCGGCGCCGCTGTCGGCCAGGATGCTGCCTTAGACGATTCTGTGGCTCTGTAAACACACACACACACACACACACAGACAGACAGAGACACACACACACACACCCACACATACTCGCACAGAAATAGAATTAGTCTTGTGTTCGTATACGAGTATCCGTATCCTTTGTTGCCCACAGCCAGCAAACAAAAGACCAGAGCAACCCAAACCCCAATCCGAGAAGAAGAAAAATGAAAAAATAGAAGATGTGAAATCAATTTAGCAAAACCGAATGAAACATGCCCTAACAGAGATCAGAAAGAAACAGCAAAAAGCTAGCACAATTCAATAATTTCTTCTCCTGATCGATTTGCATATTGTTGTCGAAATGGATTTTTAGTTCAATTAGGAACCCATTTGCGGCTGCACCACATTGGCAAATGCAAATTGCAGGCTAATCCCGATGACCTCATATATATGTATATATGTTGCCTCCTGGGCCAGCTCAAAGTTGTTGACAAAGTTGTCTGGGCCCACTGCAAAGGGTATGGCAAAAGGGCAGAGTGCTGGCCTAACCTAATAAAGCCGAAAAACAAAGACGCGCAGCTAAACAAAAGACTAGAGCTTCGTCCCTAGCTTCGACTTCATCTTTGGCAGTTGTTATTGTTGTCGTAGCTGTCGTAGTTGTTGTTGTTGCTGTTGCTGTTGCTGTTGTTGGGGCAGACTCCTTTTTCTTTCGCTGTCGTGCCTATGCGTGCCTCGAGTGGCAAGCTGGCAGCATTTTATTTCCGTTGATGTAATTGAAAAAGTTTTTCATTTAATATAAACTTTTCAGCGTCTTGCTATCTTGCTCACTCTCTGTATCTCTCTTTGTCTTTCCCTCTCCCTCTGTCTGCCAAGCCATAAAAAATCGCAACAAAAGAAAAAAAAATGCCTAAAAACAAGCAGCAAAGCAAAGGAGAACTGCCAGGGCAAGCCAGACCCGGCCAGGCCAGGCCTATGCCTACATTTTGTCACTGTTTTGCGGGGCTTTTGTTGGTTTGTTTTCCTGCCGATTGAGTTGCTTTTGGCGGCGTTGTTAGCTGACAATTGACTCGGCGGTGCCCACATGTCACATGCTGGCAACCATTGACATTGCCCGGGCAGGAGGTAACTCAAGTGGCTCCAGGCGCTGTGTGTTGGCATGGCGACACCTGCTCGGCGACACAAAGGATTTCGAGTGGACGGGCGATGCCAAGTGCTCCGGCCGAATCGCGAGTGGCATTGAGGGTTTGGGCATCCCTTTGGCATTCTGCTCTAGTTTATGAAATTTTAATTTGGGACACAGCAGCGCCAGGCTGCATTTAAATAATTTAATGTGTTTGTTATTCGACTTTGACATATAGACTCACTCCTCTTCTTTTCCCTTTTCTTTTGCTGTTCTTTCATTTTGTATATACATATATCATCTTATATCAATTCGACAAGGTGTACTGGCACTCAACTAGCACAGGTATTTCCGGGTAACAGAGCAGCGTAGATATCGTAAATAAGTAGGACTAAATCATATATTAAATAGACACTAAGAACTGCTTAATTTTAACAAACCCCATCTTGAAATACTCTAATTTGGGTATGGCAACAGCGTGTGTTCATAATGGTAAAGTGAAGGATTCGAGCATAAAAAGCTTTAAATGATTTTCAAA